TTTCTAAACTTCAAACAACATTAAACTTATTATTTTTTTTTTTTGGAATGAAAAAATAACTTTGTTTATGTTATTTTGTAAATTTTTTATCCAAGCTCGCGCCCACTAATTATAAATAATTAACATATTTCATTCATAACCCATTTCAGCTAATTTAAATTTTTTAGAAACTTGCAACAAAAAACGCTATCTGACAAGCAATTAGTTACTACTCGTATATTTTAATACGTCGTGCTTGTTAATAACTTAAGCAAACAGTCAATGAAACCTAAAATCATTTAAGTAACTTTGCTTATATTTTTCAATGATCCGCCTTATAGTTTTACTAAGTAAGTATAAGCACATTAATTAACAGACAATATTACCAAACGGACGATTTTAGAGTGTTATGATTGAGCTAGTACACGAAAGGTGTAGGAAACATGGTCTGGTAGTTCATTATAAAATGTTGGCAGGGGAGAAAGTTTAGGCACATACTATGTATAATGAAATATATATGTATGTATATACATACATCTATGTGCACGTAATTGAGAAAATTCTAAATAAATATGCTTATAATATTAATAAGTCACTTAGTGATAAGCAATCACAAATTATTTGCAACAAACTGACAAGTATATAATTATTTCCAAGTATATTTAAATATAGGGCATAAATTAAAATTTATGAAATTACCGCGTTTTTTAATAACACAGTTAATTGTGAACTTTTCCAAACTTATCAGGGAGCAGCGTATAAAGCAAATATGTACATAAGTATATTTCATTGGAAAGTTACAAATTTGCACCTTTCATTTTCTTATGCACACATTCTTGTACATATGTATATGCAATAACTCATTGTTTACAAATATTGATAATGAAAAGGAAATTAGGTTGATTTATGGAAATAAATAATACCGCAAAGCTTAAAACTAAATGTCATACAGGTAAGTAAGTATATCGTCGTATTTCTAGAATGTTTTTAGTTGTTTGTCAACAAAGGGATAATTTTATACTTTTTTCAAAACTTTGTTGCGTGTGCAACCTAAGCCTATATTCCTCCATTGGTTTCTGTGTTCACACCCAAACTGTACAAATACGCCTTTAAACACATTTGTTCGCCATTATTTAAAATGTGATTTTGCAAGGCTTTCGCTTGGTCCCGACTACAAAAACAAGTACATAAGAAAAAACAAACAAGAAAGTGTTTTTAGATATTATAAATTAGAATTAAAAAGCGTACACAGTTATTTCTAAGGAAATACTTGGGTAAATTGATTGGCATTACTCACATATCGGGCAGCACATTATCATCGCTAACATTCAAATTTTCTGTGTAAAGGTAGAGGTGCTTCAAAGCCATCAAACGATTGCCGCCGGTGATGGGTGGTATTTTTATAAGGGCTTGTTGTAGAAATTGCAAAACGCGCAAGACTACAGTAACACAGAGCAAGGTGGGCGTATGTTCTACTGGAAGCTGATCAATGAAGGACTTTTGTGCAGAAATAACGGACTAAAAACGAGGGTAAAAGGGGAGGATTAATAATCGCGAACCTAAACAAATAGTTTCCGTAGGAAAATGTGATAATATTCAAGGAGTCATATCCACTTTTGAATTTCAAAAAATTTATTATATTTTTGCTTAAATATCGAATAAATGTATGCACATACATATATTTCAGATTATTTTCGAGAAGTTAAGTTGATCAGCAAAATATTGTAGTTTCGGAGATATAAACGCATTTGTAATAATTTTTTAACTCAGTGAAGTTTGCTTCCAAAATATTAAACGCGTTTTTCGAAACCATAATTCAGAGCAGAAGCGTAAAATTTTTCCGAAACGGCTGGTCCGAACGGGTTGAAATTTTCACAGGAATTTTTTAGATCGTTGGAATAAAATTTTTACAATTTCGACATTTAATTCACTCTAAAATGGATTTTTTTCAAAAAAACGACTTTTTGGTATCTATTGTCACAATAAATATTTTTGGTGCTCGGATTTGATATAATTTTAAGCAGCATTTTAAAATTTTAAGGAAGGCCAAAATTTTCAAAATGAATCGCCGATTATTACATTAAATTCTGTATACTAACTTTTTTATATTTATTTAGAAAATGAAGTCTCTTAAAAAAAATTCATAAAAAAGGTTTTTTATATTTGTAAATGGATATAATTCCTTAAGAAACTCAAAATACTTCCAACAGAAATCTATGGTAGGTTTATTGTATGATTTAACGGTTAATCTTTTAGCTAGGAAATTTGTGATATTAAGATTTCTAGGTTATGTTTACTTATTTTTTCGAAACATTTATAACAGCGTGAAATACAATATATACTATTTATCATTAACAAACATATATTCAGTTTTATACTCCCTAAATAAGACCTAAAAGATTAGAATTTTTTCTTCGACTCACCTGTATAACGTCTATTGTGAGCGGTGGCTTTTGATTGTACAAATTGTATATTAATACGGCAGAAATATGCGCAAATATTTTGGAATGGTGTTTTATTAAAGCTTGCATAAATGAAAATAGTTCATCGGCGAACTTATGTGTGGTCTACAAGGCAAAAGAAATGGTTAAAACACACAAAAATTGATGTTTCAATAATTTAAAACGAAGAAGTGATAAGGTATTTTTACAACCTCTATAGGGTATATTAAATTTGTCACGAAGTTTGTAAAACCTAGAAAAAAATGGTCTCCGGCCTATAATATATATATTCCTCAGTTCTTGAGATATCGCTTTGCACATGTACTTTTCTCCCTCAAAAGCTGCTAATTTGTCAGATCCACTGATATCGGACCACTATGTTATAGCTGCCATGCAAACTAAACGATTAAAATCAAGTTCTTGTATGGTAAACTTCATTATTTGACAAAATACGGAATTCACGGAATTTTACAAGGATTATATTTAAGGTCACACCTTAAGAAATTTTCTATATCGGACCAATATAGCATATATCTGCCGTACAAACTAAACGATTAAAATGAAGTTCTTGGAAAACTTTTTTATTTGATAAGATATCTTCAAGGAATTTTCCATGGATTATATTATAAGTAGACAATATCTGAAGAAATTTTTCAGATCGGAGCATTATAGCGTACAGCTGGCATACTAACGGGACGATTAATATTAAGTTCTTGTACGATTTTTTTTTATTGATTAGATACATATCTGCACGAAATTTGGCAAGGATAATAGACTAAGGCAGAACTATTATATCTATCGAACCACTATAGCATATAGCTGGCAAACTAACTGTATTAATATATTAAGTTCTTTTTTTATTTGATTAGACATCTTTAAGAAATTTTGCAGAGGATTATAGGCTAAGGCAGAGTTGTAATATCTGAAGAAGTTTTCCAGATCGAAACTTCTTTTTTTGTGAAGTGCATTATAGTTTCGATGTAACGAAAGTCAACGTTTTTCCTATTTTAATTTGAATGTTATATGATCTGGTTTCAAGTTTAACCGCTGCACTTTTCAAAAGGCTCAGCCTTAATGTATGCAATGTATTTGAGGGAGAAATTAGTTGACAAAACACCAATACTCACCGCACCATAGCGCATGCATAACTTCCAAGCTACTGGCGATGGTAGTTCAATATCCTTCGTTGAGTGAAGCATCGTGAAACTGTTAAACATACTTCGCTGATAGCTAATAATGTGCTTAGGATGAAACTCCGACTCTTCTTCGCTGATAACTTGTAGTTTCGGTTTACGCTGCAAACAACTAGAGAGCAACGTTTCAACCAAGACATGATATGGTTGTAATCTAAGTGGTAGCTTGGGTATGTCAGTAACTTCACGAAATGAGTAATATAAGTTTGTAAGGCAGAGAAAATACTATTGAATGAACGAAAATGTAAAATTAAAATATATTATAATTTAAAAAGTTAGGTGTATTATATATATATTTTTTTATTTACCGTTTTCACACGATACATTTGAGCATTAGTTTTTGACTCCGCTTTGCTTAGAAATTTAAGTAAATAATTTTCCAAGGCGAGTATTTCACGCACAAGCCACATTTTTGAAGATCTTGTGAACTCTTTATTTTGTGACAACGTAATACAGCCACTCACCAGTAAATCAATGGCATATACATCTAGTATTTATCAAAATTTTGAAAAATTCTTGATTTAAGTAGCAAGTGCCACTTACCAATGAAACTTTCTTTATCAACAAACTTATGTATTTGTTTAGTTTGGAGTAGACGCACATGCAGCGTTTTCATAATATGTTCCAACTGATCAAATACGTTATAGCCTACCTTCAATAAAACGCCAATTTTTTGTAAAATATAGCAGTAGTCATCCACTTGCTGCGCAGTTGGTGGCTGTTTGCATATACATATGTATATTAAAAGAAAATTTAACGAAAAATTTATAAATATTTTAGAAAATACCTACGTTTTCTGCACCAAGACCTTGAAGTGCACGCTCTGCAGCTACATATTGCCCATAGACGTGTAAACCGCATCCATCCAATTTATAGAAATTTGTTGTCTTTGCAATGGAGCGCGCAAAATGCACAAATGAAGCATACAAATAGAGATAGTTCACCTTTCTAGCGCCCTTAAATATTGATATGAAGTAATCTTCAAGGTTAGGTAGAAACTGAAAGCAAAAGCATTTATATTACCATCTTTATTTTAGTTTTAATGCCACTATACTTGTTTTAATTCAGCATTATGCTCACACAACATTTTTTGATCAGATAAGCTGTATATTTGCAGTAGTATGCCATTGACGCATTCGCTATTTGATTCTTTGAATAATGTAGGCAGTGTTTTGTAAACGCAAATAAATTCATTTGCATAACGCTCACAATCTAAGATATACAAGAAAAAAATATTTGCTGCCTAACTATTCAACGTTTTTTAATATTAATCATTGTGCTTTTACCGTCATATTCCAAAATTTTTTTGTACACCACTATTATAAATTGTGCAACAAAATAATGCATGGTATCTGGCACGTTTCCAGCATCTTTCAACAACTTAAAATATATTTCTATCGACTGCATATAAGGAAAATAGGACCAGAGAGCATTAACATAAGGCATCATCGATTCCATATTTGTCTGAAAGTAATAAAAAAAAAAAAGTATATCTATTTAAATGAATAACTGTTAAACGTATTAGTTTCAGCACCTGTTCTTCCAAATAAAACTCCAGTATATGCTTTAGTATATAGTCGTCAGTGCATGTCTTGGCACGTGCAATTTTAATGTACAATTCTGCTGCAGTTAATGAAATGTTTTCATCTTTATGCAATGCAAGTCGAAGTATTGCCTCCAGAAACGTCTGCGATAAACATTCCAAATCGAGTAAATGTCTATAATACGCTTTCAACTATTAAATCATTCTTCGTACATCAAAAAGTTTAAGATTTGCTTACGGCTTCAGTTTCTCTAAAAAGGTGAGTGTGGCCTTTAGCAAGCCCTTCGTTCTTTCCAATTTTAGAAAAGTGTAGTAAATTTCCTGCATACTCTTTTCAATAAGAAAGCTTACAAGCTGACGATGGCTACTTACACTTTGCTGCCTTAGAAGTTTATCCAGCATGCGTATGAGACTTTTAAAAACACCACAATGTGTTGCTTTATGGTGCTGTTCAAAGATATTATACATTTTTTCATTATTTAAAATACTATGAACACTACGGCTTTATTACCCCCAACCTAAAAACAAGGCGATAGAATTGAAATGCGTCTTCATTAAAGGCACTGGATGTTCCAAAATACTGCTCTATAATTTTACTTAAACCTTCCGCTATATATGGGTGACATTCCTCATAACTGTAAAAATGAATGTTAACCTTAAATTACATTACAAAACATTATAAAACATACTATAAGCCATGTAAGGCACTATTCAGCAAATATCTGCTGATTATGTCTAATCCTCCAAAGTCCATACCACATTTTCTTTTAATTTGGTGCACACCAAGAAAGAGCTGGTAATCTGTAAAAACTCTTAATTTGAAATGATATGCCCAACAATATTGTATAAAATATATTTACTAATACGCGCAATTGGTTCTACGAGAAACTTCACTTGCATATCGGAGTCTTGTTTCTGCAAATCCATGCAGCAATTACACCAAACGCCCAGTAATTGGAGATATAGTATAAATGCCTTAGATTCCACCGCTTTTGCTTGTATATTGCGCACTGTTTTGCTTAGCTGATTAAGAAAAAGCTCAAAACTGTTGAAAAATATGGAGTTACGATGAAATATGTAGCGGCGGCAACCAGCTGCATCCCAGTCGAAATCTTTTCCCGTTTCACACTGCTGTGGACTAATCTGGGTGTGCAAGCCAATCGCTTTGAACAGTTCATTAATAAAATCTGCTGCCGCCTCCAGGGAAAGCTCTCCTTGGGGTTCGGAACGAAGCAGTAACTGGTTCAAACATCGCGATGCCACCACCTGCCGTATGCATTTTCACAATATAGTTTACACATTTGTTCTTTTGTAAAACAAAAGCTTACCTCTGGAGTAGTACCACAAGTAAGAGCGGCCACAAAATTCATATTAAATCTTCTATAATCAAAAAACAAACAACAAAAAACCAATTACTAATAGGCGGGAATAATAAATTTTCAATGAAGCCGACAGAACAACCGTTACCTCTTCTGGAAAGACGCAGAGTTGCAAAAATCGTGTACACTTCACTAAGTTGAAGTCGATAAATACTATAAAATAATCGATAAGGGTAGAAAATATGATACTAAATAAATAAAATAAGGTATTATCATAATTACCTCTTATTAGTTATATTATTACTTTTCAATAATTTATAATTTTTTTTTGGTTTTTTCGTTTTTGTGCTATTTCTTATGTAACTTCACACAACTGACTTTTTAATCATTTCCGGTGTGTTCTTCCTCTTCCTCGTTTTCGAAAACAATAAATATTTATCCCATACGGCAGCGCTTTAACAGCAAGACCAGCTGATCATTGCTGACACGTTTGTTGCATACTGTAGGTTGTTGCTTTTTTTTATAAAGACTTTCAACTTATTTATAATTTTGGTTATTTCGCCAATAGATGCAATAATAGCTAAATTATATATAAATATAGTGAAATTAGTTGCTGATACCAGCCAATATATACACAGTTGTTATTAGCAAACACCATGGAACCTGAGCAAGACGAAAACTGGTACCTCCGCCCACTCTGCGACCCGCGAACAACGTGAGTGCAATATTCATTTTTTAGCCTCTGTTATGTGTACAATTTAAATATTTTTATTTCAGTAATGGCCCTATCAAAGTTGCGTCTACCAAAGTTGCTGTGAAGACTGAATTGCAAGAATTGCGTCTGTCGGAAGATTCACAAAAAATGACAATGGAGACACTGCGGGCGATACATGGCCCCGATTTTCGTCTTAATGACGCATCAGTTTACAGCGATCGGGGTAGTCATATGAAAAAAGCATATTGGGAAGATCGTGGAACATTAGTTGTACATAGTGTCACCAACTACTCAGCCGACAGTCAGAAGGCAGAAACTCCAGAAGACCGCTTGCGGCGTTTCGCTTTGCTAAAGTTGGAAAATTATGGCTTCGCGGCTTTGCATTGCGCAGAAGCTTTTGATCACTGCAATGGAGATACCGATGCTGCGTTGTTGTTGCTTTATCGTAAATATATGCGTGTACCAGCTACTCAAACAGATGACGAAGCTAACGAGTTCTTGAATAATGATATAAGCAAAGAAGATCTCTTGGAAATGCGTAACGACGAAAGGGCAGCTTTAGAATCTATTTATGATACAGCTTTTGAGGAAAAGGAAAAAAATACGGTTTGGAGTTTGAAATTCAAAATAGATCATTTACTGATACATAGTCCGTCAGAGCGAAGAAAACGTACTGGTATATCCGAACAAGCAGCTCAGCTGAAAGCGAAACCAACGGTCAATGGAAAGGCCCGCTGTCGTAATTTTGACAGCAATGGCACATGTCGTTTCGGCAACAAATGCCGCTTTGCGCATATAGCGCCCGTTGTAGAAGAAGGAGAGGGACAGCGGAAAAAACACGAAGGTAGGAATAAGTGATTTTTTATAACATGGACGCATTAAAAATATTTGCCGCACTTTCAGATTTTCTCGATGGCAACAAAGAGTACAATTGGTTTTTTCTTGAAATACGATTTCCACCCGATACTAAGTACCCTTACGAAGCACCATTTATCTACCTCAAAACAACATGCCACGATCTACCACGTGATGTATTGTTACTAGTAGCGCGCCGTTTATATTGTGAGGCACGCAACATTTGCGCCGATGGCATGGGCTGTGTTTACAGCATTTGTGAAGCTATACAAAGCGAAGAGGCGTACTCGCAACTGCCGAAAGGCGAGGCCTATCCATTTCCTTCAGATGCTAAATCACTTTTCGCCAGTGATGGCAACGTTGAAACCACAGCAAATGGCGGCGCTCCTGAAGTACTGCCAACACACTATGAACGAGGTCAGACGTCCCATGCCGAACAACAGCGTTCAACCAAACAAACCGAAAATGAAGATCGCGTGTTGCTCCGAAAATTTTTACAACGACAGGAGGACGAAAGATACCGTAAAATGATGTTGGGGCGTCGGAATTTGCCTGCTTTCGAGAAAATGCTTGAAATACTGGATTTAATAGAAAATTCGCAGGTATCTTCCAATTTCTCTACATAACGAACATAACTGTTAATAAGCAATTTGTACTTCAGGTCATTGTGATATCAGGAGAGACTGGCTGTGGAAAGTCCACACAAGTACCGCAATTCATACTCGACAATTGGCTATTTCATGCATCCAAACTCAAAGATTCCAGCAAAATACCCCACGTGGAGGTAGTGTGCACACAACCGCGACGCCTTTCAGCGATAGGTGTAGCAGAGCGTGTAGCCGATGAGCGCACCGAACGTGTGGGTCAAACGGTGGGCTACCAAATACGTCTAGAAAATAAAATTTCATCTACCACACGTCTAACTTTCTGCACCACCGGTATCCTCTTGCGACGTCTCACTGCCGATCCACTGCTTAGTACCGTTTCGCATGTTATTGTCGACGAAGTGCATGAAAGAAGTGAAGAATCCGATTTTCTACTTATGATACTTAAGGACCTGCTCAAAGAAAGACCTGAACTTAAAGTGATACTCATGTCTGCCACCCTAAATGCCAAATTGTTTTCAGAATATTTTGGTGGTGCACCAGTATTGGATATACCTGGGCGCACATTCCACGTCGAGCAATTATTTCTCGAAGATATTCTGGAAGTATGTGATTATGTAATGGAATGTGATTCACAGTATTGTCGTAAAATTACCAAAAAGGAGGAAGAAGAGCTAATGCGTGAATTAGAATACTCGGATGTAAAGTCAGAAGCTGCCGAGCCTGCTAGGAGCATAAAAGATGACAAGCTCACATTGGCGCAGATGTATGGTCGTTACAGTGGTAAGTGTTTAAATATTTATTTATTTATTTATTTAAAAGAGAACTAATTATAAATAATTAATCCACTTGTAAGAATCAGAATTAGCTTGCAACAACACAAACTGTTTAAATATAGGCATTTTTATTAGTCGATTTGTCTGTATATACTCCAACTTGTCCCTCAGTTTTTGAGATATCGCTCGGAACGATCTGAATGAGCAAAATCATTGCCTTATCTTCACGATCAACATACGATAGCTCCCATATAAGCTGTTTGATCGAAATAAAATTCTTGAATGGAAACTATTTTATTTGTAAAGACTATTATAGTTTAGCTGCAACCGAACTTAACGTGCCTTCTTGTATGTTTTCAAATATCTCATTAAATTTTTTTCAAAGATTATTCGAAGAAAACTTGCAAAAGCATCTACCTAATGGAACCAATGAAAATCAATCCTGAATTAGTGGAGTCTGTGCTGAAATACATTGTCGAAGGGGAGCATAACTGGCCCAAGGAAGGCACAATATTGGTATTTTTACCGGGTCTGCAAGAAATACAAACCGTGCATGAAGCGCTCAGCGATAGCGCCCTCTTTGGAAACAGGTTACTACAATTTGTTCAGTATTTATGTTGCATACGCTGAATATTTCGTCTATTCTCTGCCACAGAAGCGGTAACTTCATTGTCATACCGCTACACTCATCGCTCTCCAGCGAAGAGCAGTCGTCCATTTTCCGACCAGCACCGAAAGGTAAACGAAAAATCGTGCTTAGCACTAATATTGCCGAGACTTCGCTCACCATCGACGACTGCGTATTCGTTGTGGACTACGGTTTGATGAAAGAGAAGCGTTTCGATTCCAATCGTAACATGGAATCGCTGGAGTTAGTGTGGGTATCACGCGCCAACGCAATGCAACGCAAAGGACGTGCCGGACGCGTCATGCCAGGTGTTTGCATACATCTCTACACGGGTCATCGTTTCCGGCACAACTTCCTAGCACAACCAGTGCCGGAGATACATCGTGTACCTTTGGAACAGCTCGTGTTGCGCATAAAAACCTTGCCTTGCTTCAGCACTAAAAATACGCTGGAGGTGTTGGGACGTACACTGGAACCGCCCACCGAGGAAAATATACTTTCGGCTGTGCGCCGTTTACAGGATGTCGGCGCTTTAGATGAGACGCAAGAGTTAACAGCGCTGGGTCATCACTTATCGGCGCTTCCGGTTGATGTGCGCATCGGCAAACTCATGTTATATGGCGCCATCTTTCAGTGTTTGGACAGCGTTCTCACCATAGCGGCGTGTTTGAGTCACAAATCGCCATTTGTGAGTCCTTTTAATAAACGCGCCGAGGCAGAGAAGCGCAAACGGGAATTTGCTATATGCAATAGTGACCACTTAACAATGCTGTTAGCATACAAGGTGAGTGTGTTGAAATTTTTTTGTTGTGGTGTAACATATATATGTTTTAACTTGCAGAAATGGTTGGAAGTGTCTCGTCGTAATTTCTACGCCAGCCGCAATTACGCAGATGAGCATTTTCTCTCACTGAAAACACTGGAAACCATTTCCGAGGTGAAATATCAATTCTTGGAATTGCTGGTCTCAATTGGTTTTGTGCCCATCAACATACCGCGCAAGCGCAAAAACGCCAGCGATAATATACTCGACTTAACGGGTAATACAATATATTTTAATATATTTTTGGTAAAATACATATATTCCACAGGTGCCGACTTGAACGTGAATGGTGACAATAATCGTCTGCTCATATCGCTGCTTTACGCCGCGCTTTATCCCAACATTGTTAAGGTGCTTACTCCCGAACGTAGCTACATATCGACTGTCGGCGGTGCAATGGCCAAAATGCATACGGCCAAAGATTTGCGTTTCAAAACACGTCAAGACGGATTTGTCGCCATACATCCATCATCGGTGAACGCGATTGTGGGCACCTTTCAGTCGCCGTTCCTAATCTATCAGGAAAAAGTGAAAACGTCGCGTATATTTATACGCGAGTGCTCCATGTTGCCTCTGGTGCCGTTGGTATTGTTCGCTGGTAGTGATTTTAAAATCGAATTGCATGGCGGTGATTTTGTATTTCTGCTAGAAGAGGATTGGATTATACTTAAGGCGCATACGCATGAAACGGCAGAGATGATACAGTGTTTGCGTTTGGAATTGTTAAAATTGTTGGAGGAAAAGATCAGGGATCCGTGTTTGAATTTACTAAATCATGAAAATGGTCTGAAGATCATTAAAACAATTGTGCATCTTATAACAAATAATAATTAAGTGACAGCATATACATCTGTGAGTGTGTGTATGCTTTAGATAATGTATGTGTGCGTGTGATTATATGTTGTAAACAAAATTGTGTGAAAACATTATGTCTATAAGGTGTGTCATTCAATATTGTAGTTTTGTAAAAGCATCTTTTCAGTTTGCATATTATTTTTAATAAAATATTTTAATACGCTAATTCGCATAGTGTTAGCAGCAAAATTTTGTGAAAGATAAAAAAGAGATTTTTTTTTGTTTAATTTATAAATTATATATAATACAATTTTTTGTTTAATAACCTGTCTCTTATACACATCTAGATGTGTATAAGAGACAGACATAGCAGTGTAATTTAGAAAAATAAAATCTGCTAAAGGTATTTTAAAAGCTTAGCCTATCTTTAGGCGGATTAGCTCTTTGGAATCGTAAACTATGTTGTTTAAGTAATTGAAATTTTTTATAATTTATAAATACGAACATATTTTTGTGGATTGGAGTCAGTAATCACAATTTATCTAGAAGTTAAATCGATTCATGAATTCAAGTAAAAATTCAGATTTCTTTTTATATTACTTATAATAAAAACGAATTTTGATAAAAACGAAAGATGTTGTTGTATTTACTTGTGCATAAATAAGTGTATCTAAAGCTTTAGAACTAAATATTAACTATAACAGAAACTGAACAGGAATAAACACAAATGTTATAGTTGTACTAGTAATGATTTTGGTATAGTCGAGAGAATAATGCAACCAAATATAAGTGTGTTCTCTAATTTGACCCAAGCAAATTTAACTCTTTTAAGCTTTTCTGCTTCTGGTGTTAATTCTGTTTTTAATTTTGTTAATGTTTTCAAAACTGTTCTCTAATTTAACCGCACCCATATTAAAGGCGCATTAAGACTTTCGGTTTCTGTTGGCAATTCTGTTTCTGTTTTCAAAACGGTTTAATTATTATATTTATATTATATTATATTTAATTCACTTGTAATAATAAAGGTTTTTTTTCTTAACTTCTGTTCTAGTACTCTAATTAAATCTTAATTAGCGAAATTAAATTAAAAATGATCTAATATTTTTATAAAATAATCGATTATTTTCCGACAAATTTAAAATTGTATGATACACCTTTTGCAACACTTCACATTTTGGAATTATTTATATTTTTTAATACATTAACTTCACATAATAAACTTCAAATAAAATTTTACTTTGAGTCCTATAACTTTTATTTTGTTTAGCAAAATCACATAATCTGGCAATAACGTTAAAGTATGTTTAGCGCCAAAGGAAAGGCTATTGCTAGAGCGTTTGTTTAGTTTTTTTTTTGCGTTTTAAATAAAATAAATAATGATTCAACAGTATATAATGAAATATGTTAGTAATTAGACGCACGATCCAAAGAAACAAGTGATAATATAATAGACAATTTTTAAATATGAGTTTGAGCCTTTGTCGAAAACGGCGCGTCCAAGACCATAACGATGTATCTAACATTTCCACAAATACCACCGTAAATACACAACATCGTAGTGCACGACAACGCGGAAGGGACGAGCTACCTTCCGAAAATGTGGGAAATGAAGCTGCGGCACAGGAAGATGCCCCAACGTGCAGTCAAGCTAAAAGACAGAAACGGAGCGAAGGCACACTGGTAAGCAGTTTTAAATGTGCTGTGGAGCAAAGTTTTCATAATATAGTATATAAATCTTCAATTTATCGTAGTCAAATTCCCAAATTGCGATGGACGCTACACGCTGTGGAAAGATTAAAAAAGTTGTTTTGGTCAATTTTATGTGTCATGCACACTACTGCATTGAGTTACATCCGCGTGTCAATTTCATGGTAGGTCGCAATGGTTGCGGCAAAAGTGCTATATTGGCTGCATTGGTAGTGGGTATGGGTGGTCGTGCTCGTGCCACCAATCGATCGACGTCATTACATAGTTAGTATAAAGTTTGAAGTTCATTTGCACAATGAAACTGAAAACGTTTTGTGCCAAACTGCAAAAACTTATTATCGTGATTGTTATACTTCTTAAACTACTTTTATTTATATTAAGGCTTAATCCGTAATGGTCAAAGTTCTGCGCGTGTCGAAATTACAATTTCCAACGAGGGTGTTGAAGCTTTCAGACCAGAGATATATGGCGATGAAATAACGATTGTCCGCGCCATTACCCAATCGGCAAGTAATTACAAAATTAAGAATGCGAGTGGCCGTGTTGTGTCAGAAAAGTTTGATGAATTGAAGCGTATTATGGACATACACAATATACAAGTTGACAATCCGGCTTTTGTCATGAACCAGGACAGTGCGCGTGAATTTCTCAAAGAGTAAGTTTGCTAAAGCACTATATGGAATTTATTAGAAATGTGATGATATCATTTCTATTATATCAGCATGGAACCAAAGAAGAACTATCAGCTGTTTTTGAAAGCTACGCAATTAGATTCAATACAGGAGCAACTTATCAAATGCTATTATGAGTATCAAGATCATAAACAACGTCTAATGCACATTGAAAAGGTTTGTTATCATATATCGTAAAGTGCATAATAACGTATAAAAATTTTCATTACTTTCTTAAAGAAATTGGAAGAAGATCAACAAAATATAGCTGAACTTGAAACAGAGTACCGAAAAATATTATCATTTGCACAACTGAAGGTAAATTTAATTAAAGATAATTATTAATAAAAGGACAAAATATTTACACATACTTGTTATAGCAAGAAACAAATCAAAAAAAGGCCGAATATGAGTGGTCTTTGGTAAATCAGTTGGAAATAGCCATTAATAAGATAGAAGAAGCGCTTTCTGAAGCTATGCGCGATCGTGACAAACTTGAAGAGCAGGCGAAACGCAAAAACGAAATCGAAAATAAACTCAAAGCCGAAATGGAGTAAGATTGCGAATACTTTTAAACCTTGCAAATTATTTCTAATTTATTTTTTTGTTATACATCTGTAGTAACTGCAGAGAAGTCATTGGCCTGAACCGCACAGAGTACGATCAAAAAAAGGATAACTGTCAAGCGATTAATACGCGTTTGAAAGAGAAAGCAAAAATGTATCATAGTCTCAAAATCGATGTAGAGAGTCTTAAAAAACGTATTCATCATTTAGAATCGCTAACTGCGGATTTGGAGCAGAATATAGCGCAACGCTCAAAGTTAGTATAAACAAAGCGAAAAAAAAGATTTTAAAAACTTCAACCAAGATTCGATTTAATATTAATTAATATTATACTTTTTAAAATACCTTCTTATTAGAACAATGGGTGTTGAAGAGCTACGCCGTCGTAATGAAGCCGAACTGGAGACCTTACGCAAAGAGCAAGCCGAAAATAAAGCTATTAATGAATCAGCCAAACGTGAATATGAAATTTTTGCCGAGAACAAATCACAAAAGGAGGAGGCATTCAGAAATATTAAAATTCAAATAGATAATTCAATGCGTCGAATCGGTAAGTAAGGCAGAAAATTGAATATATAAATTGATTATATATCTGCCACTATCTACATTTTTTTTATTTTTATAATTTCCTTTTTTTTAATATTATTTTCATAATTTTCTTATTTGTTATTATATTTTCCCCCTACCTTCCTTAATAGATGGCATCAAGCGCGAAATTTATAACTTACAAGCGAACAAAAGGAATCGATACTCAATTTATGGCCAGGAAATGCAAACGCTGTTGGAAGAGATCGATCGCCATTATCGAGCACGCAAATTTAGTGAGCGGCCGCGCGGTCCCATTGGCAGTTATTTGGATGTACCTGAGCAAAAATATCGTAATGTGGTCGAAAATCAAATAGCCGATTTGCTGCGTGCCTTCATAGTCAACAATACTGCCGATCGTACGCTATTAAATACGATTATACAGCAACGCTGCCCTAATATGCATGTGACAATTATAACCGCGAAGTTTTTAAACAGAGTTAGTAATCATAACTGTAAAACGCAAATTTCTGTAAAATTCATCTTTAAATATAATTTATCAGGTACATGATGTGCGAGCCGGTTGCGTACGTCCACCCGCCGGCACACGTTTGCTCTACGACGTCATCCAGTGTCGTGATCCTGTCGTCATGAATTGCTTAATTGATCAGTTAAGTATTGAGACCATACTTTTAACAGACACCAAGCAGACCGCTGAGCATTTAACCATACAGCAGGAACAGGTGCCGCAAAACTTACGAAAAATTATCGTAGACGCACAACCGGCCTTAGAGTACTTTCCGGCGCCGAAATATCGTATGTACTCGTTAAATATACGGCCAGCACGGCTGATACAAATGAATGTGGACGAATGCATAAGGTGATGTTTGTGAAGTTTTATATAAAATAATTTATATATTTTTATTGTAAATATTCTTCTTGTGCAGCCAGCTTAACGACAATTACCGCACAATCGAAAATGAAAGATTAAAACTGCAAGAAGCTTATGCAAGCACAGGACGTGAGTTGCGCACTTCTCTAGAACAGTTTAAAGATAAACAAAACCTAATGCAAAAGCACCGCGATAAAATTATGCGCCTGGAGCAACGTATTGCTGATTTGGAAGGCTACGAATATCCAAATACGAATGAATTGTGTATACTGGTATAGTTAATGATATTTACTACACTTAAGCAGACATTGTTTAATTTTTTTTTTTTGGATTATACAAACAGGAAAAGGAGCTCGCTGAAAATGAAAGCAAACTAGAGCAATATAAGAGCAAATTGGAAGATAAGAAGAGGGAATGCGCTGAAGTTGAGCTTGAAAAGCAGAATATAGAAAACGAAATGCGTAAACACACGGATAAACTAGAGGGTATACAGCGTAATATACGCGAAAAAGAGGTAATTTATTTCATTACAATGTATTTTCACGAATAATACGTAGTTGGGCTCTAAAAATCGGAACAAAAGTTGTATTTTATTAAGAGATTTTGACGCATATATTTCCTATTTATTATGCTTGCTTTACAGAATGAATTGAACAAATTAGAAATGGACATGCGCACCATGCAAGACAATTTTCTCAAATTTGAAGACAAAAAGCGACGCATTGACGAGCGCATACAAACAGAAGAGGTGAGTTTCAAAATATACCCTTCACAGGAGAATTCCTTGTAGCATTAAAAGTTATAAAAAATCTTTATAAAGATATTTTCTTCAAAAAGATTTTTCCACAAAGCCACGTTAATATGTGAAAAACTATGGAACTAGTTCGCATAAATACAGACAACGTGCAGACGAACATAGCTAAACCTTCTCAGCCCGGGCTGATCATTTATATATATATATATTATGTTGTTGTTGTTGTAAAGGCAGAAATTATATATTTTATAGTTTCCTTCTGGGTAAACTTAATATACCCTATATATATTTATATATATATATATATTTATATATATATATTTATTTATATATATATATTTATATACATATATATATATATTTATATATATATATATATATATTTATAATATTGTTAATAACTGCTTGCATTTTTTAATATATTAAACACACACAGACAAACAAATCCGTCAAGTTAAAGGAGCTGAATGACAAAAAGAAAGTGGCACAAAAATTTGGCCAACGAGTGCACACAGAGCGCACACCCGATGAGATACTAGATGAAATCAAATTAGGTGAAGTAAAATTGAAGCAAGGTGCGCCCTTAAAAGAAGACCCCGACAAATTAGAGAGTGCAATAAAGCGTTTGAAACGTAAACTCTCCGTTGATCGGAGCACTTTGAAGACATTCAGACTTGTCACTGATCAATTGAAACAATCGCATTCGCGTCGCATGTATTTTGTGAAGCATTTTAAGGGGCACATGATAACCATGCTGCAGTATACTTTCAATGTGAGTGGTTTTTATGATTCAATTTTGATTTGATTTTGATTAACTAAGATATAATTTTTTATTTCTTACAATTCCTTTGCAGAATGTGCTGAGTAAACGTCGCTTTACCGGCAAAATCGAGGTCAATCACAAAGAGCAAACGATGGAAATATCGGTGGTGCCACGTGACAGTCACATCGCCGATGCTGTTACAAATACGCGTTCGCTGTCAGGTGGTGAGCGCTCGTATACAACGGTAGCATTCCTAATATCACTTTGGGCTTGTGTGGATCACCCATTCTTCTTTCTTGATGAATACGATGTGTTTGCGGTAAGTAAAATTTATTTTTGTTTTTTATGTTATTTTGCAAACAAAATTTTACAACTGTGCAACGCTTTAGGATGAGGTGAATCGCGAATATATGACGCGTTTATTGAAGTTTGAAGGCCAAAAACGTCCGAATCGTCAATTTGTATTCTTGACACCACAGGATATGTCCATTGAGGCTTGCGATTACATACGAATACATCGGTATGTATTTTATATTATTTAATTGTACTAATTTTCTTTAATCAACTATTCTCTTTTTGTAATTTTTCACACACAGTTTGGCCGAACCAATTCGTAATTGAGTTGTGGTAATTTTTTGACGCTATTTCGATCATGTTTATATATTTAGTTACACTGTTGAATAATATTTTCTACATTCGTTTTATACTCACTTACTCAGTATTGTTAAATTTCGTTTATTTTCACAAAACTACTTATGGATATTTATTTGATTTTATATATAATATGTATATGTATGTACACATGTGATTCTATGCATTCTCTTAAATATTTGTATGTATACGCGTTAATAAGTATGTATGGACTCGCAAAGAACAAAAAAACATTTACCAATATTGAAAGACAAAAAAATTACATAAGTTTTGTTAAATCGTTTCATTAAATGTGTAAATAAATATGTTTATTGCGGATTTTATGAAATAAAAAATGATTTTAGTCAATATGATACACAAATTGGCGTGAAATGTAATTAAAAAAATACGTGTCGTATATTTTTTACATCTATCTGTATGAAGCTCTATATATTTTATAATTTTCTGTTCAATTAGATTTATCTTTATGTATTTTATGTTTTATATTATCTATATAAAAAATTTTACATGCATTTTTTTGTTTATAAAATTGTATTTAATTGTATTATTGTATTTATAAAATTTTTATTTTTTCTTTATGTTATATAAATTTTTTAGTTTTTTTTTATATATAATATATATTTTTAAATATTTATTTATTTTTATTCTATACGTAATTAAATAAATAAATTATTAATAAATTTTAATATAATTATTTATTTATTATACATTTATTTTATGTTATTTTATTTTAATATTCGCTTTAAAAGTTTTATTGAAATTAATTTTTTTATATAATTTTAGCCTGTAATAATTTTATATATATATATTTTTTTTTTTAATTCTTAGGTTTTTCTTTTTATTCACGTTGTTGCTGTTGTTGTAGCGGCAGAACTCTGCCGAGTTTCTTTATATTCATCGTTTACTTTTGTGATGATTTCTTGTACATATAGAAATTTCGTATTTTATTTTCTTTTTTATTTTTTTATTATTTATTTTATTTAAATATTATTTTTATTTATTTATTATTATTTTTATTTATTTATTATTATTTTTTTTTTTGTTAATTTTTTATTGTATTGTATATATATATATGTATGTATGTATATATAACTTAACATCTGTCCTCAACTTTCTCAACATAGCCACGTTTAGTACCAGTGCGCGTCTTATTGCATTCTTTTACCACTTCCTTGAGCAGTTCAATTTCATCTTTAATAAAATCCAACTCTTTTTCGACTTCGTGACGTTGAAATAAAGGATCACGTCCTGAAATTTTAAGCAAACACATTCATATACATAAGTATAAATACTGTGTAATAATATATTTTTATTTGTTTCTGTTTTATGAACACTTACCCTGCCTGCGTCGCAACATTCTATAAATATCGCGTATGCCATCCAACGCACGATCCTTATTGAGCTCATTTGTGGCCACGCAATCTTTGGCGTTTGCTAAAATACGCTCCCAATGTAGGCACTCGCTACGCGCCTTATTATACGAACGTTCCAGCTCAGCTAAATCATTTTTTAAACCCAACACCGTTAATGCGGCCTCATTTGTCACCTTCACCATGCGCTTGCGCATCTCTTCAATTTCCATAAATTTTTCCTGCTCCAAACGCGATATCTCCACCTGAGCCAACACTAAAAATAAAATACACGAAATAAAAAGTAAACAAATCCAAAGCATTAAAAATTTTTCATGGACTTACTCAACGCATCACAACGATCCATGCAATCCTTCACCGAATCGAATATCTCCGATTTCTCCACCACCTCCTGTATGACCGTCTCATACGGCTCCAAGTCGTCTACAGTCGCTTTCAGCACTTCGCGAAACTCGGCCAACTCCGATATGGCGCGCTTGAACTTTTCAATATTCTCTGCCAGCTCTGCATGCAATGCGGTCTCTTCGGCTATCTTCTTATCAGCTACACGTCGCTTATCCTCACAGTCTTTGATGAAATTATTCACCTCAATGAAGCGTTTACGCAAATGCGCGTGTATCTTATAGAGTTTGCGTATGCGACTGGCGTTACTTGCCGCCTGGCGCTTCGAATTCTCCAGCATCTCATCTTGTAGACGCAACATGGCAGCATGCTCGCGTTCATTGCGTATATAAAGCAGCTCAATGGAGTCGCCTGCCGAATCCCAATTGGGTGGTTTGCTAGTGGGTGTTAAGGAGTTTTATTATGTGCCATGTACCTCTAACTATCTTTATATGACCTCAAAGCCAACACTTTAGACAAAATCTAGACAAATCGTTACAACAACGACAACAGCAACTTACACAAAATATACATCTTGCTGCTTGGATTCGATGTAATCGCCAACCGCCTTCTCCGGGCTCAAATCCAAATTGCCGATAACATCGATTTTGGCTGTCGGCTTGAGACGTGGCATCTTCTTTTCAACTTCAAATCAGCAGTATACTATATGTACCAAAATATGAAAATTTATAGCAATAATTTTATAAAATTATTTTATTTTTCTATTATATTATTTATTTACCAAAATATAAAAATTTGTAGAGATAATTTTAGGTGCGTAAAATATTTTTTCTGTCTCAAACAACAAAATTATTTTATCTTCGTCGCCTTGGTAACGTAAGCAGTAAGCCTTTTCATGCTTTCGAGTTTCATATTCAAATGTATGAATTAAACTATGTAGGCAGAATTAATAATAAGACGTTTACACCTTAGATGAATTACGAGTATTAATTTCTCTTGGACTGAAAAATTGGGTTGTCTGTAGATTACCAGAAATAATTTTATTATTAATTTTATCGTATTTAGTTTCTAGGAGATTGAACCGCAGTTTGAAGTATAATCTTGGCTCGAACAGATTTCTACGGTTTCAAGTCCCTTACACCTCGTGTTAGGTACTCTGGGAATTCTGAAATATTGTATGTAATTTTGACAATAACAGAGTTCAAAACCTTTGGAAATCATGCGAAACTTATTTTTCAATATTTCGAAATGCCTATAATACCTACCCTTCGTATTCTTGCATTAAAAAAAGTAAATTAAGTTTAGTATTTTTTTATTTCTTAATTTCCGTATGTATACTGTATGTATGTATGTGCTGCAGTTATATTAATTTAAAAATACACACAATATATATAGCGCAATTACAGAAAGCTTAAATAAAATAGAGTCAAATATTTTCAGTAATAATATTTTTTCATATAATTGTTTATAGTTGATTTTCAATATTCATATTTTACATTTTTCTGCTGCCGTTATTTTAACTTTAATAAACAATAAGAGTAGTATATTTTGTAATTTTGCAACAACAAAAACTGTATCGGTGAACTAGTTAGTGAATATATTTTTTATTTTATTCCTCTATTTATTTAATTTTTCTTTTACGACTTGAGTTCTTAACGAATGATTTTAAATGCTTCCGTTTTTGTAATTATCGCTTATATATTTTTATATGCAAGTACAGCAAAACTGTATTTTAAGATTATTTATGTTTTAACCTTATAATTTTACTATTTTAAACATGTTTTTGTGTTTTTCTTGTAGTTAACTTAATATGTCCTATTTATTTATTTTATAAACAATTTTGAGTTTTGTTACGTAATTTTTGTAATGAAAATATTTTTCATTTATATTTGAAGTGAAGCCATTTCTAATGAGTTTTGCTATTATTTTTGTAACTGTTTGTAGTTGTTTTTAATGTCATGAATTACTTACGCAGCATGTTTATGTGTTTTTACAATGGTCAGGCGAACAAAAGAATTCTTATTTGGGTATTGCATTGCCTTTTAAAAATTAAATTTAACCGAAAAAAATTAAAAAAAAAATTTTAACTTTTGTAAATTAAATTTCACAGAAAAAATTAAATTTTACTTTATTAAATTTCAATGAAAAAAATTAAATTTTCCTTAAGTGCCATTGATATTGAAAACTACTAGTTACTAGTCAATATTTGTCCATACCTTCTGTTTCAAAATTTTAAAACAAAATTTAAAGAAAAAATTATTTTTAATATTTTTTTTTTAACCAAAAGGAAGTGTGCTTTTCGCTTTTTTCAATATTTCATGGTGCTTAAATACATATTTTTTTTCATCAGTTATTCATTTTTACTTTTATAATTAATTCGTTTTTATTATCCATAAATTAATTATTTTATTTATTTTTTATTAATAATATTTTTTTATTATTTTTTTTTTTTTTAAATAATAGTACAAAATTATATGCTTTCAATATTATTTGTTTAGTACAAAACGTTCTAAATAAATATTTCATAAACAAATCTCTCTAATTATACTGTTAATTTCCCTATGCAATTCCAATAATCGCTTAACGGTTTTCTAGTGTGCGACCAAATGTTATAGCGTGTTTGAGTAGGCAGACAATTGTACATAGACAATGAGGAGCCAAGCTATATAACTGATTGTTTGTTGGTGTAGTTTCATTTGGCGTTTACCTTATTTGTAACTGTAAAAAAGAGAGTAAAGAAATTGGAAAATGATTATTTATTTTTATCGCAAATGATTCACTTTACTAAAATTTTTTTTGGAAGTGATTTTTTAAATTAATACTGAAAAAAGTGTGATATTTGTTTAATTACTTAAATAAGATAAAATAAAACATATTCCAGAAATGGTTAAAAATATAGAAACGTTATTTGAATTACAATATGCAATAATATGTATTAATTTCAAATCTCCATATACATACATATGCAAGTTTTTTTCTATTTTTATTTAAAAAAAAGTATTAGTTTTATGTGATTTTTTTTCCAAATTTGTTCACGATACATCATAAAAATAATCGCAGATATTTTCGAAAATATGGTAAATAAAAAAATTCCAGGAAAGGCTTAGTTAAATTTCGAAAATAAATTTTTTGATTTTTCGAAAAACGGTGTTATTAATTATTGGAAAATAAATTTAATAGTTTTTTGAAAAAAGGTTTAATTAATTATCGAAGATATGTATATACATATTATGGATATTATTCTTCCTCTTACAAAAAAATTTTATTTAAATAAAAATGTTTCTTGATTTTTTTAATAGATATTTATTAACTAAAAAGTTTTTATTCTCACTTATAATAAAGACAAAAAAATTAGCATAAATTTTTCATTTCATTTACGTTATTTGTTGGTGTTCTTGTTGGTTCTCTTCATCATTTGTTCAACACTACACGTGCTTTGTAATACGGTTTTTCTTTACGAATTTTTTTTTTTTTTTTTTGTGTTTTCAGCTTCGAAACATAACAAGTCAAGCAATTGAGGAGTTATAACAGACATTAATGAAAAAAAGTTGAAATACATCAAATATAAATACAAAAAAACACAATATTTCAATTATATATATGTATATATGCAAAGAAGAGACAACAAAGCACGAAATAATTAATTAAACAAACAACTTGTAATTATAATTTTAATTGGTAATCGTAATAATGGTAATGTATATGTGTAATAATAATTATTATATATATACTTGTAATACATTTATGTATAATTGTATATAGTTTTATATATGCAAAATCTATGTCGAACACACACACTCCTAATGCTTTTGTTTTTATTTTTTTCGCTTTGTATCTATATATGTATGTAATGCAATGTTTTCGGTTGTATTTCCCTGCTATAGCGTTTGATGATGTAACTACAACTACATTTACATGCAGAAATTTTGATTTCACATTTAAATTTTCGTTTTCGAATTGCAATTTTACTCGTGTTTCGGTGCGTGTTTATATGTTTAAAATTTTTGCAACATTACGGATTGTGTTCTTGATTTTTTGCTAGTTTTATTTTTTGTTGAATTTCGTTCAATTTTCAGTAGTAGTGGTTGTTGTGGTGGTGTTGTATTTGTAGTTGTTGCCTACATTCCATAGCCAGGATAAGCCATGTTTGGCGCATAGCCAGGCGCCGCCGCATAATTTTGCGCATATTGTGGTGGTATACCCATTGCCGGTCCAGCGGTTATCATCAGTTGTGGTTCCATTGTGATGATATTCTTGTGTTCGACGGTTTCATCCTCCTTTTCGCGTTGCGCTTCGTTTTGCTCCAGTTTATCCACTTTGGTGGTGTATTCGCGTATTACCTTTAAAGGGAAAATTAATATTAATATGATAAAAAAAAAATTATAAAAAAATTTACTTGTATCAAATAGGGCATGGCGAAGTCCATGATATTGTGTTTCCATGCCAACTCCAGTATAACATCAGGCCGCAGCAAATCGTAACACTAGAAAAAATGTAAAAAAAAATTACTTTTTGAAGTCAAATTTTATTCAAATATGGCTTTATTCCTTTTAATTATGTTTTTTCTTTCTTTCTCAAAATATCTCGTTTTAATCCCTAACTTTTTCGAACTATATTGATATGGTGGTGACTTTATGTCAAATTTTCCTCATTACGCTCTCTCTCCCCTACCGCTGTATTTTTTATCTTTCGGAACTCCTTTTAAATTTTGCGAAACTTTGTCTTCGCCCAAGTAATTCGACTTGAGACTTTTCGTCTCTGCCGCTCCTTTTTTTACCATATTGAAGGATATGCGTCCTTCAGCTTATTTATAACTTGATATTTTCTTTATATACATATTACATCTGCCTATTTAGTTGTCTCTCTTTATTTAACTTTATCTTTAAAGCTTACTTCGTGTCTAACTCTATTTTATGTCTCCCGATTGCTACTGGAGGCTCTTATCTCTCTGTCTTTCATTTTCAATTATATATACGCTATATCAGGTCACTGCACACTCACTTGGAATAGACAGGCAGCAAAACAATCATGGGCATTGCGTTCCAGGAACCAACCCAAAAGCTCTTCGGCAATTTCCTGTTTGCCAGATTCAGCCGCATACTCCATTGCATCCTTGTAGAGTTTGTCCTTTTTGCACAATTCGACGCTCTGCTTCCAACGGTTGTTGCCTATAATATTATTAAAGAGATGTATTTTAGTCTCATACAATTTGAACAGTGTTTTTAGGGGCATGTTGATAGAAAACCCCAAACCATCGCATCCCGCATCGTTAAGCGAAGCTATTTATTTTTAACCACTTTTATGTTGCCTTACTTACCTTTGTACAGATAGGCAGCAATACGTCTAAATTCGGTCAATTCGTGCTTCTCCAGCTTTTGTGCCAATGCGATTGTGTCGAAGTTATCAAATCCATCAATAGAATTACGTAGACCCTGATAGTCCTCCTCGTCGATGAGTAGCCCGTTGAGCGCCTCGTTGATCGCCTTGTTGTTGAGCGATTGTACTGAACGTAAATATGGTTTCACCAATTGTAAATGACCGGTCTTCGAGAAGAAGCTAACAGCTCGTGTATGATCCATACGGGGTGCCAACACCAACAGCATGTCGTTTAATAACAATGGTTTGTAATCCAAATAGAATTGTATAGCTTTGTAGTACAGTTCGATGTTGGCCACTTTGGTGATGATGTCCTTGAAGTGACCCTCACGCCAAGCCTCCGTCGGATGTGCCATCATGGCAAGCACTGCATTATCGTACTCTTCATACTTGTCGTAGAGGAATACCAGTTCGGACCAAAGGTGCGCCGATTCGGCAGCGCGTAACACTTTTGGAATGTTGACACGCGACCAGAACAGCTCGAGATGCTCACGCATCTTAGACGGCTTGAATTTCGAATAGAGTATAGCCAGTTCAGTGAACATGCCCATGTGTGCGCGTTCCAGTCCCAAAGCGGACTCCAACAACGCAATGAGCTCCTCAAAGTAGCCACGATCTTGATAGTAATTGATTAGATCTTCTAATTCATCGGCGTGCACGACGATGTGCAGACCGCACATTTGCGCTAGACGGAATTCCTCGGCATCGACACAAGCGAAGCACACCTCCTTCCAGGTGCGTGTCGAATTAGCTTTACGTGCAGAGTCTACCGCGCCCTGGAACTCCTTCAAATAGACCAATGTAATGGCGAGACGTGCAAAGTTGCTAACATTGTTGTACAACAATTTGGCCGCATCGTACATGCCATCGTTAAAGCAACGATCGCCGATTTTCTGTATGTCGGCATGATTCGGACCCGAAATGAATTCTTCCAAATCAGCGAGACGGCCGGTACGTGCATAGGCATAGATCAACTCGCTTTCAATATATGATTCACGCGCCTTCTTGCGTGCCATCTGTAGATAACGCACCAGATCATCCCAGGAGTCAGCCTTTGAGGCGACATCCACCACATCCATGTATGCGCTTGGATCGTCCGCTTTGATGTACGAATCAATGGCCTCCTTAACGAGTCCTTGTTGCAATTGTGCTTTAGCGAGCTGTGACCAAACGGCCGGCTCGTTGCAGCGCTCGGCGAACTCATTAGCGCGCTCCAAATTATTCACCTGCTCGATAAGCACCTGTATAGCGGAGGTATTCACATCGAATTTCTTGAAGATGGCGAATGCCTCTTCGTACAATTGATTCGAAATAGCGATATTCGCAATATCGGGCGCATCATAGTTGTCCAAACGATTGATATAGTCCATGACGCGTGTGCGGTCGGCTTTAATAGCGGTCAAGATAAGCAAGTTTTGCAAATTACGATGGTCGGAGAACACAGACGAATCAAGTATAATTTTTTCAAGCAATTCAATTAACTCATTAGGCAGATCGGCGGTCATGAAGGCCTTCACCGTCACAGAGATATCGTCTGGGTCCTGTGTTTCAGACAGCGCTGTCTGCACGACCTGATCTATCAATTGGCGCTTGTAGGGATTTGCCTCAGACAACACTTCCACCCAAAGGGCGGGATCGCGACGACGCACCAAATAACGCGCTTCGCTCTTAAACAGTGAATTCTCATTGCAAACAGCAATCAGCTCGCGATCACATTGACCACGTTCATAAGCTACACATGCCAAATGGGGATCACGTTTCTCGCAATAACGACCGACCACCCGACTATCGTAATATTGATTCTCCTTGAGGAAACGTTCGGGATTATTATTCGAATCGATATAGATCTTGGCCAATGCATTGTGTGTAGCGGGTTCTACACAACCGTCATGCACGCGCGATTCCAACCACGGCAATAGTAATTTCAAACGATTACGCTTCTCCACTTCAGCCACTAGCTCATCGGTCGAGAACTGGCCCTTTACGACAAGTATCAAATTTTTGATAATATCCTCAGAGCAATCAACATCCAAGAGACCACCAACGACAACAGGCAAACGTGATGGATTCACTTTTTGCACGTAAATTTCAATATATTTCTGTAGATTGTTACGGTATAGGTAGAGTACTAGATCATGTACAAAGTCGAAACGATCACAAACAATGATAAGCGGCAACTGATCAGTGAGTTTGGCCTCCTTTAGGAAGTTCTTAACGCGTTCTGCATTATAGCAGTTTGATTCCCGACAAATGCGTTCAACTTCCTTAATTTGATTGGTTTTGCAAGCCGCCTGTATATACTTGAAATGCACCTCGGGATCCTGCGAGTAGTTAACGATCGAGCCGAGGAAGTAGAAGAGTCCCTCGTAAGACTTGAAACTCTCGAAGAGATCAATCAAAGCTTTAGTGGTCAATTGCTCATGATATTTGGTAGCAATTTGCACGCAGATCTGCAAGTTTTGACGTATATTCGCCGTTAACATGGCTTTCAAGCACTCCAACGAGTCCTCCACGGACAGCGTTCCAAAGTAGCCGACCAGCCAATCGGCATTCAACAGATGTGTATGCACCACAGCGCGCTTAATGTCATACAAGTCGGTGTAGTGTTCCAATGCGCGTTGCAACAAGCCGGCCTTCTCGCATAACTGTGCGATGTGCGCACGATCGTAATGCGTGAACATGGCATTGCCGAGAATGGCATCAGCCACTTGTGGCGCCGAAACCAAATTCATTTCCAACAAACGCGTCTGCAAAGCACCCTCATTGGGGCGATTATGCTTGAGTGCGTCCAGCAGGAAGGCAGTACATTGCTGCACCATTGAATGCTCCATGAATATATCGACAATCTGATTGATATCAGCCAGCGGTTCTTCCTCTTCGGCTACCAACATCGAGGCGAAGCCGGCGCCTTGTTCCGGATTGGTGCGCATCACCGAACGTAACAGGAATATATAATCCGGGGTATAGTTGACCTTTTTAGCGTACAATACGATCTTTTGGAATTGTCCCGTCTCGGCGAAACACTGTATAACCTTATTGGGTACATTAGCACGCAAGTAAATTGATAGCGCCAATGTCAAATCGGATGTCTTCACCAAATCACCCAATTCTTCGCTGCACTCGAGTTTCTCCTCTTTCAACCACTTCTCACATAACTGTTTCTTACCCTGCACCAACACTGGGCGGCATAACTCCAACGACTCATACTTGTTCAGTTTGCCCTGATCGAGTAGTATGCCAAAGTATTGTAAGAGTGGTGGCGTCGTTGAGCCAGCAGGCGACTGCACTTGCTGGAAGCGTTGTATTGTTTGTGGTGTACGCAAGATTCCCTTTGGTGCGAGCGCTGCTACCTTAGCCGCTTCGGCGTATTGACCTGCTGTGAAAAGTTTATTGAATTTACGCACAAAGAGATCCTCAGCACCAGAGAGATTATTGCGCACGGCCATACGTAAAGCCAAATCGGGATTTTGCAATACCGTATTGATGTATGGGATAATTTGCTCTTCATCGACGGTCACGGAGAGTACTTGCCCCTTGCGATTAACACCGATGATGCCGCCACTGGCCTCGTGCGGTGCCGTCACAAAGATCGTATCGGCCGAGATACGATTCATGTAGATGCACGTAGCCGTTTCCATGTCATATAGATGGATATAGCCATATTTGGTGATCAAATAAATGGTATCATATTTGGCTGAAACTTGCATGGCGACGGGGAAATCGCTTTGCGCCTCCGGTGGGAAAAAAACGTCCACCGACTTCTTGGGGAAGGGTTGATTGCCTGCTGGCGGGGCACCTACTTCGATAATATGCAATTTGCCACCGCTTGCAGTCCTCACAGCGAAACAGAACAGTGTCGATGCCTCCTTGTTGCCCTCCATCTTGAAGCTGGCGAAAGAGGCAGCGTGACCTGCATTAAAAAGCACATGAAATTAAGTATAAAAGTAAAAGTAATAAAAATTGAATATATTTTTATGATTTTTAAACAATATTTACAACACCACACACTTACCTTCGATAGCCTGTGAGACCTTGCGCTCCACCGAGTACAACTGCATAGCACCGGCCACACGATTTGGCAATGCCGATATGCCCACCAACAACAACCACTGTTGCGTTGGATTGCAACGATAGTTGATAATTTGACAACCATTCAACGATGAATGGCGATCAAACATTTTTTGCGGGGTGGAATCGCCTTCCATGGACCAATGATAGACAGAGGTTTCGGTGACCAAGGCCAGCGTGTTCAAAGAAATCCATTTCCAGAAGACTACATCCTCGGTCATAGTGTGCGCCTTCATTTTCGATTTCATTTCAATATTGAAGATTTGCAAGGTCTTTTGAGCTGCAATTGCAATTACATATAACGGCGTGTTTATATTAAAAAAGAATGACAAGGTCGTTCTTACCCTTAAGCGCAATAACTTTGCTGGCTGGATTCATAATGGCCGAGTCGGCGGAGATGGGACGCCGGGTCGGGTTGCTGACATCGTTCATGTCGATAATGACGACTTGTGCGGTGTCATTGACCTTTTCACGCACGCAAATGAATTTGTCCGACTCCATGGTGAGAGTACTGAACGAAATCGAATTGATGTTGATGCCGACATTTGTGAGCTGCAAGTAAATAAATAAAAATTAAGGGCAATTATTAATGGAATAATTATTTTTGCGAAATTTTAAATATGTAAGTACAAAAAAACTATAAAATAGCCAACAGAAAAGAAAATACGATCACAAGACATTCGGATCATTCGCATTTATATCCGCCCATCTCTCAAACCCGATTTAAAGTGTAGAATGCTTTTCCAACAATAACAACGATAAAAACTACATAGAAGCTATTAACAAAAAAAATTAAAATTTCAAAAAATAAATAAATCAAAGAGAAAAAATAAAATAAAAAACTGAACTAAAAATTTATAAAAATAAAAGCAAAAAATTTTTGAAACAGAAAGAAAAAGGTTTTCAAAATAAAACATCATCATCATTTTCATTTAGCGCCAAAATTTTCTATTTTTATTATTATTTCTTTTTTTTAAACAAATTTTGTCTAGTTCAAGGTTACCATTTGTTTACACTCAATGCCAATTCAATCTCCAATAGCGGCATGTGCCCGAAGAAAAATGTGGCGCCAATTTCTCCTTCAATGCAAACTACAAGTACATACATAAGTTCGCAGACAAATCTCAAGCAAATATAAAATATACTAGAATAAATACAGATTTAATTGATACTAACTGCGCCAAAGTCGTAAGAAAAATTAACAAAATTTTTGAACTCTTTATGCCCAGCGCATGTCCAATGATAAGCGAAAAGCGCACATACCCACACAGCACTTGGACGGCGCAGGAAACGCAATATGAGTAAGATTTTTATTTCAATGCAATAAACTGACAATAAAAGCAGCAAGAGCAACAAGAAAACATTCAGTATATTGTTTAAAATATGCATTTTGCTATTCTCTCAATAGAATGTCAATGGCATTAGCTAAAATAAGACGGTAATGCCGGCCGACGGATGAGGGATCACGATGAGATGAAAAATGTTTTCAATTTTATGTTTTTGAATGGCAAAAACTTCCGTCAGCTGACGGCGATAAGATGCGATCGCTCTCCTTCATACTCTCTCGAACACTGAGATAGAAATCAGCTCTCAAAAATATTTTAAGCGATTATAAACATCGAGACGCAATTGTAGATTTCTTTATAGGAAATGCTGCTGCGCATTTCTTTGTTTGATTTCGTGGCATTTGCAAAGCAGAAAGCTTAAAAACAAGAAACCGAAATAAGCCAAATTAACGCCAATCCGGCCACAATGCACAACATACATACATAACATGCAAGTATGGAATATCAATTAATTTTGTAGTATACATACATCCAAGGTCATTTAGGTAAAAGGAGTTATGCAAATATTCTCATAACGTTTTTCGTAAGGCTCATTTAAAGCATACTTTCAGGCGTTAAAGGTCGCTTTCTTGTTACAATTTGTTGTTTCTTGTTACAATTTTCCAAATTTTTACACTTATTATTTGAAATTATATTATTATAATTAGATACGCGTTAATAACTTTAGCATACTATTAAAACATAATTTTTAAACATATAATTATTGATTATATTTTATTTAAAACATAATTTTAGACGTTCAAACCATTTTTATTAAATTTTAGCTGAAACTTATAATTATTTATTATATTTCATTGCCATAAATTCTCGCATAGGTACTATACATTTAATTGTTTTCTACAAAAATATTGATTATTATAGCATACTTTTAGGCTATATAACACATTTACAATTAATCAGAAATTACCGTTAGTTGCTGTTTTCTAAACTTATTTTGTTAAAAAAATTTTATATTTAGCATTTTTTTAAATATATTTTACATTGCTGTCTTAACTGAAGCATAATTTAAGGATTATAAAAAACAGTACATTAATTCTTGTTTTGTTTATCTATCACGTGCTATATATTCAAATGTGTGTTAAATATTTACCCGCTAATTATAAGAACCTACTAAGAAGCTTAGTGTGATGATTTATGTGTGTTTTAACTCATTTGACTAAAGAGTGTAAATTACTTTGGCCCAATAGAGCAAACGGTGTTTTGTGTTTTTTGTGGCTTTATATAGAAAAAAAAATTTTTGGCTAATAATTAAATTAGAAAATTAAAAATTAAATTTTTTTTACAAATTTATCACAGCATTGTAATGTTTCAAACTTGGAAAGGTCTAATAATAAATTTAAATAGAGAATATTTTTAATCATAATACATATTTACGTATTTAAATATATGTACATATATACCCCACTTTTCTCCAAAATTTCGATTATGCTTCAGAGCATATGGCAACACAATATAAGAAAACTCGCTTCTTGAAAAAAGTGAGATAAGTCCATCACGCATTTATGTATGAGCTTATGAGGGGAGTTAACAAAAGCAACATATGAATGATAATAATGTTTTTTGGAGTAATAAAAGTTTAGTATTGTGCAGTGAAGCAATCGAATGAGCACATAGTCGATATGTACGAATATACAAAGCTAATGCTTATAACGGCATACAAATTTGTATTTTCGTAAAAGTGTGATTCCGTTACTATAATATGCATGCACGGTTGCGCCATTGAGTAGCAGTGGGTCAACTATTAAGTGATTATACGTAGAACAATATATGTACATATGTTTGTATATAAGTTCCAATTAACTGGTGATCAAGTGTCACTGAACGAAGTAACGGTAGATACAAAAATTTAAACAGTTTTAAAAACAGTAGTAAATTTATGACCMAATTTTATCATATTGTAATATATTATACTCGATTTATTACAACAATTTTAGAATAAAATTAAAACAAGTATTAAAAATACAAATAACAATAATTCATGAATTTTTTACTTAATGGGAAACGGCATGTGAACCTACTTTAATTCGTAATTATATCCTCACGGCAAAAGACACGAAAACGTGAGCCACGCTTCTCACATAAAAGATGTCAAAGATTAATGAACTCGAGTGTACGAAATCAGCATAATGCATAAAGAGACACGTAAGAAAATCATTGGATTGTCAGAGGTACATAAACATAAACATATACCGGTGTAGTTATAAAAATTGTGATCAGTTCTGCTTCGTAGTTAATAATCTAATTATGATACAGTGGAAACAACATGTAGAAGCCTTAACCACAAGAGACGAAAATCATTTTTATGTCAGCGAAAGGCTTCTCCGGCACCAATTGGTCAAAACCTAAATAAAGCTTGAGTTGGTATGCGCAACTGAATACAAATTCATAAATAAAAATTTATGTCAACAATATATGTACGTACCCATATTACGGCCACTATGAATCAACTAAGACAGCATTGGGTAGACCCAATGGAGTAATTGTAATTTTGTATATTTTTCTACTATAATACACCATAAGAAGCGAATAAATTTAAATAAATCACAAAATACCACAAGAAAGTGGAAAAGTCGTAAAGGTATGAGTAAGCTCGCTCAACTAGCGCGCTGTACTGAAACAAAGGTGATGAACCGGTTCAGAAGCTGAAGCCAAAACGAAAGTTCAAAAGAAACACGGTAAGATGTACTAATAGTTAAAAAAAATGTTGATGTAATTAAAATGACTAGCCAAGAGCGTGTGCTGAATCGGTGTCAGTTCTATAACGGCGAAAAAAAAAAAAAAAAAAAAAAAAAANAAAAAAAAAAAAAAACAAAAAAAAATCGTAGGAAACATAAAATTAGTGATTAGATAATTAAAAATACAAGAAAATATGAGTAAAATACTTAATGTGGAAAAAATTTATAATATAAAACATATTGAAGTTAGCGAAAACATTTCACTTGATATGACATTTTGACCCTCAGCTTTGAGTTCAATTTATTTTTTTAAATAATAAATCTATTTTAATGCAAAGCCGAAAACATACATAAAAACCTAAAGTGATAAACCAATAAGCAACAAAATAAATCAAGTATTTAGTCAAGAAACCTATATTTGCGTTAACCCCCAAACGACAAGTGATGAGTCACATTTTTGCTGTACTAACACTAAAACATGCATGCACACATACACTCTGTATGGCGCATAAATTTATTGAATGGCAGCAGCGATTCTACTGAGCGCAGCAATATGCCGGAATGGCGCAACCGAGCGTACAMACATATGTACGTATAAAGAACAAACCGGCGGCCAGTCGCACCAGTCACCGACACACTCGGTAAAGCATTTTTTTATTCATTGTAAACTACAATGCGTTTCAATTTCAGTTTCATTTTTTTATACAGAAATCAGTGCAAGTTAGATAGTAGGCTTAAATTTATTTTTTCTGCTTTATATAGCCATGTGTATGTATGTATAAAGTAAATGTGGAAATTGAAACTGTGATTTGATGTAGGCATTTATGTGGGTGTAGAAGGAAAATCGTGAAAAAACAGTCCTCTTATCAAAACTCAATGAAAGTGTATGTATGTACACATGAACATTCTCCTGTAGAGCTTTTTATAACACAGGAGGCTGATAATGAAGCAGAATATTTTATGTGTGCGTTGAAAAGAACATCAGAAAAGTGGGTGTTTACATTTATAGTAACACTGTAGAATATAAAAGAAATTGTAGATGATGGTTACTATCAGCTAAACCCCAGCATATTTTTAAACCACATACTCTTTCAGGCATTTTAAAATAATTTACAATAATCTTGCTATGATTCAAAGACTCACCTGTAAATGCTCCTGGAAGCGTATAGGCAAAACTTGCGTCATTTTTTGCAGCTACAATAGTAACACACTAGTTATCTTTCACTGCAACGGCGCTGGAATTGATTTACGACCTCAGGATCACAATGTGTTATAGTTGACACCTTGCGTACTATTTAAATTAATTTTAATATCTTCAAATTCTTTTTTCGTTCGTTCGATCGATTGCGTTTTATTCCTATTAATTGTTGATTTGGTTTTGACAGCGGTTATTTAGCACTTATTCACTTTAATTAATTATTAATCTCTTCTCAGTGAACCTTTAGCATTTAAAATTGCAGCAAATGGAGATAACATGGAAAAAAAACAATGAAATATTAAATGAATGGCACTACAAAATGCAAAGCTAAGCAAACGAAATCACCGCAATTCAATAATTGCATTCCTTTACAAAAATCGAATAAACTTTACTTTTTAAAATTGGTTTCAATGTTCGGATTCACTTCGGCGTATATTATAATACTTTTGACCTGTTCACTTTTCATTTGTCCACATAAACACTGAAATTTTAAAGAAAAAGTATTATTATAAATTCAATAGATCTACACGAGATATATAAAATTAAAATTATGATGCTCTAAAAAAAACTACGTGACCGTACGGAAAGTGGGTAGATAGCTAAATTAACCCGATTCACTGCTGGACGTCACCGCCTCTCAAAGAAAGTAAATGTCAGTGAGCAAATGCACAAAAAGAGTTATGGTTGTACGTTAATGAAATTTTACTTTAAAATACTTTTATCTTACAGTAACACATTAAATCTTGGTTTCATTCGCAATATTACTTTATTCAAAAGAAAAAAATTGGTACTGTAGAGAGATTACACGAATTTAACGGCACTGATATTAACTTTGCACTCGAACTCGTTTATTGCTCGCCGATGTCGTTTTTTTGTTTTTTCATTTGACAGTAATGAAAATTCAAGCAAAAGAAAGCGCACCACTGACAGCGAAAACGGCGAATTGAAACGAAATAAAAAATTAGAGGTGAATTCACAGTTAAATTTTTTGGTAAGAATGACCTAATCAGAAATAATTGATATTATATCAGTTTTGAAGATATTGTATATTTGTTTTTAATATTGCACAGCCAAGTTGAAACAATAAACGTTTTCGAGTAACAAAAAGGCATGAAGAAAAAAAACTACGATGTAAAATTCACCACTGCTATTTAGTACAAACGAATTAAGTGTATGCAGTGATGCTGAATTTAACAAAAAGCAATTAAGTTGCGATATACATAGAAACGCACAAAAATAATAACTCGCGTAATTGCAATTAATCAACTCCTTTAGCCAACTGTAGAATTCGTTTTAAAATAAAATGCCATGTAAAATCCACGTATGCCACATAAACAAAAAATATGTATGCATGAATACGGCGAAAAGTATGTAATGCTTCATTGCTATTCAACAACCGCCCACCGCCAATAAGCGCAACAAACGTAGCTATAACATGCTATCCAATACCTGAACATATCAGTTAGAATGAGATGACGAGCTGTATATTTAACTTTTCCGAATGATAGTCATTTTTCAAAGTAGTTATCTACAGTATCTCTGTTTCTTCCTTCGCCTTTTGCGTTATCTACCCTTTCTCTAGCCAACTTGAAAATTTTCCACTTTTCCTTTTCGGTCGCTTTATAATGTTAAAAATGCATCTTTCTTTGCACAGAAACTTAATTTTCGATATAATTCATATGCCACACAATTACCAATTATCGTTGTAGCTTTTTTTGTTATTTATTTGGTTAAATTCCCATTTATTATCCACTTAAATTGCACTTAAAACGAGTTTAACCATATTGATTTCTTCACCACCTAAAAGCGTAAATGACAAGAAAAATTCTTTCTGACAAATGAAACTCCTCAACTGATGTCAAAATCGCTTGAACAAATACGATTGCATTCATGCCATGGTGAATTCACGACAGGAATTCTTCGATTTACGATTGCAATGAAAAAGAGGAATTTAAGATGTTCTTTCATAAAAAGTATTTATGGTTTATCATAATAACATAAATAAAATATACGCATTTTTAAATAATCAAGAATAAATATTATAATCACAAAATTGCAGTAAATTTTTTTTAAGTAATGATTCTACTATTTATAATATGTGTGGATTGTCATAAATCAAATTCGACTAAAAAATAATTAATTTTTTGACCAGTATATACCTTCTAAAGTTAATTTTACTGAATTATCTACCAAAAGTTAATATTTCAGCTATTTTTTGTGTTTTTTTTTCATATTGTCTGCAATCTCGAAATATATTTTAAATAAGAGTTTTCGCAGTGTAAGCCTTTTTAATGCACATGGAAGTTGGCTGCTTTTCAATAACCAAAGTGCTGTAAAGCAGCTGTTATTTGTAAATACTCCATATATTCTAATTTAATTTAATTTAAATTTTATATCCAAACTCTAGAAAACATAATATTTTACATTGCTCAATACATAATTTTAATCAAGCACTTTCATTACACCAGATTCTCTAACACTATAGAGTAGTATATTATAATGCAATGTTACTAGTTTGTGTTTTGTATATATTTTAACAAAAAAGTGCTGCTAAATACTACCCTGTGTAAGCAAGTGAACCCGCGCGTGCGGACAAACTCAAATCTCACGGAGTCACAATAGCCAACAAACAAGGCATGTAAACAATTGTAATTGTGCAAAAAAAAGAGGCAAATAAAGTGTACAGTGGCGGAGGGACGCAATAAATTCGTGAATAAAAATTTAAATGTATTTAGTGTGTGCCAAAGTGAAGAGCGTCGCATCGTCTTAGTGAATGTGAAAAATCAATAAATTAGTAAAAGAAGTATATAACATAGCTACAGTAAAAATAATTAATTTAATTCTACTAGCCAACAATAAATGTGTATGTATTCGCGTGAGTTTTATTGTGCAAATATTAATGGCTATAAAAAGGACGCGGATGTATCGATGAATTAAGGTGAGTTTCAAAATTATAAAATAAGCGAAAATAGTTTACAACATGATGAAGTAGGCTGTCTTTCTGCATAGTTACAGTAAAAATAGTTTATACGCAATGCTACATGTGCATACATATATACTTTTAAGAATATAATTGTATATAACTCTTTGGATTTATGTACATATATGATTTCAAAAAAAAAAGTTTTTGCAAAATAATTCTATCTTACGATTATTGTTTAAATTTTGTGCTTTGTTGGTTTAACTTGCTGTCTTTGCTATTTTTTGCTACACACAGATTTACTTGCAATTATATGTATATGTATATATGTACATGCACGCCTCCTGCCGTGCCTTGCACTTGGCTCCGATTCTTTCGTTCGGTTGTTTTTTGATCTCCATGCAGAGGGTACAGTGAATAAGTTCCTTTGCTAGTTTTCGCTGTATTCATTGTATTAGTCTCTATGTTTTTCCACATAAACTCCTCTTTAACGGCATTGTCTTGTGCTGTTGTGCTATTTTTATTGTGCATAGCTTGTTTTTAATTTTTTCCTGTCCCTTGCCTTATTCGTTTTTATTGCTATTACTAGTTTTACTATATACTTTTCAAAAGCGAAGCGTTTGCCTGCGATTTGTGTTTCTAAACAGGAAAAATAATGTGCAACATTTTGTGACAAATTTACCAATAAGTTGTTAATGAAAATCAAAGCAAGAAGAGATAAAAATTTATATACATATATTGTATTTTAAATTAGAAATAAGAGAAAATAAAATAAAATCTTTTTTTTTTAATACAATGACAGGATGTGCTGAAGTTGACGAGCCGGCGCTTGATAATTTTTGTTTGTTCCAATCATTGTGGAGGACGGTAATTTTTTATACACACTGAAAAGGTGGATTCTACTACAATAAAACATGAAACCCACCCTCCCATATTATTGCTAATTTTAGAAACGTCAAAATGCCCTTCGCGCTTCGTTTGCAATTGCGTTTTGTCAGCAATGTGACATGATTTTGGTAAAGTTAAGAAGCATTGACTCCCCAGCAAGCGATATTCAACTGTATACATATTCCGCCAAAGACTTCCTTACCTAAAAGTGGCATACATACATATATACGTTATTTTATACACTTATCCAATTGGTGTTGGTTTTTTGCAACATGTTTTTTGTTCATCGTCTTCGCATTGGTATTTACAAATTTTCTTCCCCTCTGCGTGACAAAGCAAAAGTGAATGTTGCACTACGTATACATGGCTTTTCTGCATCACACCTTCGCCTTTATTTTGCCATTATTTTATATAGTGTGTTCTTTGATTTTATACTGCGAAGCGCGCAAGTAGCTTTCTTTACACAACCCACTTATTGGCGCGTTTTCGTTTCGGTAAAAAATAATTTTGAGCCACACTTGTATGGCTAAATTAGTATTTTACATATCTTAAAATCCATTTTATTAGTATTTTAAGATCATCCCTCCAATGGTATATATACATATACATATATGCAGCACCTTACTCTATTAGTGTTTGCTTGCAATATTTTGTTTAAATCCTTGACAAGGTTACCAAGTTAGTCGCCGTGCAATAGGGTCGAACAAAATGTGCTGGAATACATATTTTGGATGTAGAAATTTTAATTCATTAAATTTTGTAATTTTTATATGGTTTAATGGTTTAGTTCTGTAAAATTTACACTACTTCCATTAAATACAAATTTGTATACCCTATTAGCTTAGTTTTGTAATGTAGAAATAATAGTCACAATATTTAATTTTATTTTGTAAATTTTATATGGATTATTATGCTTAAATAACTTTTTTAAATTAAAAACTAAAAATTTTTAAAGTATAAAATATTTTGTAATGTGTAAAAATAATTATGTACATTATATTAATTATTAATTTTTACATTCTATTTTGTAAATAAGCCTCACCCTATTAACGTTGTGTCAATCAAAAGTTTTGTTTATTTATAAATCCTCTCTTTCTTGTGCTTGCTCCTGACTTTTGTTTTTGCGCTCTCTGAGTAATCGCATTTGTTTATTTTTGTTGAAAATACATTTCTTTTTGCTTTTATTTTTGTTTCCTGTTTCGGTACATTTCATCCACCAGAAATATCATCCTTTCTTGCTCTTAGCCTTAATGTGTGTTTGTATATTTTTGAATGCACATCCATACATAAGTGTTTGAAATTCTGGTTTTGTTAACATTTCTATGTATGCAGGTACATTTTTACATCTATACATATCAAGTTAAATTTTTGGCTTTATAAATTTTGCGCCAACATTTTTTTTATATTTGAAAAGCTGTTATTTCAGTTAACAGCGATGTTGTCAAAATTGGAACCAAAGGAGTGGGCGAAGTGTGGGTAGTTATCTACATATCAACTTCTTGAATAATTTTTATTCTGCTCTAAGAATAGATAAATTTTATGTAGAGGATAATGTCGCAAGAGTTTTCCATCACTTCACAACTAGATAGAAATTTGGTTAATCGAAACAAGAACAACAAAAAGGTCCATAAGGCAGTTGGGTTAAATATACAAATCAAACTTGACAGTTTAATTATTATATACATTTTCTTATTTCTTTACATATATCAGTACATACTATACATAGTATGTATGTATGTATAACTTTCTTCCTATTATATTTTTCTAAAATTTTTTATTGATTTCTTTGACTTACTTCCTTCCCATACATATGAATATTTACATATGTATGTATATGCCATAGTACATACGTAGCTTCATAAGTAGCTACGCAAAAATATATAATTATTTTTATAGTTGGTGCCGCCACTGCGACTTTTTGCGTCCCCTTTTTGTGGTTGCTGCAATCTTTATATTGACTTTTTTTATAACTTCTCTCTCAATGCTTTTCGTGAGCGCAAGACGCAAAACAAAAAAAATATATTTAAATTTTTTCTCAGGCAAATTTACTTGCTATCTCTTTCGTTTTGTGTCACGCTAACTCCTGCTGCACAAAATGGGCATGTACAGCTACCAGTAGATAGTTTTTGTATATATTTTTAAATAGCTTATGCTTGCCTACACCTTTGAAGAAAATTAATATTTTTCATTGTGCGCCATATTGTAGTTTTATTTATGTCTTCGCTACGCCTGCAATGTTGTTTAACCACCATTAAACATTTTCCCATTCCAAAGCGTTCTCCTCCTTGGAACATTTAACATAATACTTACGTATGTATGCGTGCACTCTCACCACGCTCTATGGTTTACTCATCAATTTGTTATACCCGGTCGCGTCAGTCCTGCTGCATATTGGTTCTTGATTTTTTTTTTTTTTTTTACAAAATTGTATTTGTTAAAGTTAATGTTCTTTGGTGTTGTCTCTCAGCAATGTCTCGGTTATGCTGCCACATGTGTGCGCCGCGCCTGTTCTCTGGTTGGTAGCTGGTTAACAGGCAGGCTGTGTCGGTTTGCCTGCCGGCCTGCTTTCCTTTTTATTTTTCCTTAAAATATTACTTTATTTTTGTTGTTTTTGCTGTTGAAAAAATGCTAAAGTACAGTGTTCGAAATTTTGCGCTACACTTTAGTAATTGTAGTTGTCATTGTTGTTTTTGTTGTTATAATTGCTGTTGCCACTGTGCGGTGTAGTGTTGCTGTTACCGACGCTGCCGCAGTCGTCGCTGTCACTGTTGTTAAACTTCTGCTTGTATATAGTTGATTGTTGCTGCTGCTACTTTTATTTTATTACTTTTTCAATTTCAGTATTTCTTTGTCTTTTGGCCTTTTCTGTTTAATGCAAAAAAGGAATTCCTACTTGCGCACGGATTTTTCAATAAATTTGCTGCAAAAAGTTTCTGTCTTAAGAATGTGAAAAATAAGAAATTTTCATACAAAAAGGTGTGTGTTGTTTAGTTTTCAACAAAAATATGTCTATTAAATATTTTATTCACAAATTTTGTGTTGGTGTAATATATGTTTGTATGGTATGGGTTAAATATAGCGAATTTTCAGTAACTAATTTTGGATGCTTCTTTGTCCTTGGTGTGCTCGCATTTTAGTGTGCATAAGTGTATGCGTATGCATGTGTAGTAAGTGAAGTTACAGCAATATTTGGCGGCTATAGAAAAATGCTCATACTTAAGAGAAAAAAAATATACAAATTCTATCAAAATTGGCAATATAATAAATTTAAAAAAAATTAAATAAAACAAATTTAAATAAAAAACATAATATTTGGCGTTCCAAAGCAACTTAATTTTCCATTTCGGTAATGTTTATGATGTTAATTAACGGTTAAGAATCATAAATAAAATGTTACCCTTATAAAATCCAGATTAATCATAAAAATGCGCGAAAAGCTGCTTGGAAGAACTGTGAGCTTGAAGTTTCCGATCAAGAATATTTCGCATCTACAGTGGTGTAAGTAAATTTTTTGTAATTTTTACAAAGCTGGGATAAAATCACCAAAAGTATATTAAACTCATAGAGGATAACCGACGGTTGTGTATTGTTATGTGATTTTTAATAAAAGCTGTGCAAATAGCTTGTATTAAATTATGGGAAAATGTATTAGTACTTATGTTATAAATAAATTTTATGATTTCTCTTTTTAGTAATGCACCATTCTCTAAAAAACTTTGAAAGTGTTACTCTTCATCAACGCTTAGAAATATTAGCGCTTCCGTAAGACTCCGTTAGACTTCCCTACAGCCAAAAACACGGCACTTCTGATTGAAAAAGTGATATATTAATATATAACGAAGTTTTTCTTAGAATCATCAATTTCTTACGGCAACAGAATTATTTCACCTCCAGCTAACGAAAGCCTGTACCTGACTCTGAACGCCCGGTTTGCCTACCAACGGCACCGCCACGATGAACGCGTCTCAGCGTCAGGAGTTTTGTGTGCGCTGGAACAGCCATTTGGGTAGTATCGGTGCCGCATTTCCTCAACTGTTGGCCGGTCAGCGTTTTGTTGATGTGACCTTAGCATGTGAGGGGCATCAAGTGCATTGTCATCGACTCGTCTTGGCCGCATGTTCATCCTATTTTGATAGCATCTTGGCTGAGAATCCTTGTAAACATCCAGTCATCATATTACCCAGTGAAATAAAGCTGTGGGAGATTCAGGCGCTTGTCGACTTTATGTACAAAGGTGAGGTGAATGTCACACAAGCCGGTTTACCGCAACTACTGCGTTGTGCCGAACAGTTGCGCATTCGCGGTCTTTATGGGTCCGATGCCGCATTGAATTTGAATCAGCTGAAAGCGCTTACGAATAAAGCGGCTGCAGCAGCTGCTGCCGCGACGCAACAACAACAGGCGGATGGCATTGAGACCGACACAGATACCGCTACTAATTCGACAACAACAACGACAGCAACAGCAGCAAGCGCACTACAGCAGTTACATGCTGGTGGGGGAATGTCAGCGGCTATGATGGCGCAAGAGCTGCAGCAACAAAAGTATCAGCAACAACCAACATTTATGATTAAAAAGGAGCCTATACAACAGGATATGGAACATGAACAACAAATGGAACAGCTGCAGCAACAACAATTGTTACAACAACAAAGCAACGGAAGCCTCGCGCACAACGCCATGCAACAAAATCATCTTGAACACCAGCAACAGCTCGTGCATCAGCAACAACTACAGCTACAGGCACAGCAACAACAGCAACAACAACAACAACATCAACAACAACAACGTGTGCCGCAAGCAACATTAGCTCATGTGGCCAATGCCGCTGCGGCCATGGCTGCCGCCAGCGCAACGACAAATTCGAATGCCAACAGCGAAGATGACGATTCGGGCGATGATTCCAATTCCAATCAGGCTTATGAAGAACGCAATAAATATAGAATGCAGCAAAAAGTAGCAGCCAATAATATGAAAGCGACACAAGCGCCCGCTGGTGCGCATTTGGACTCCACCATAGAAGATGATCACAACTATGTGGCCGCACACGATGAGGATAGCAGCTACTGCGCCAGCGCGGATACTGAACACGAAAGCTCAGCCAATGCATCATTACTCAACATGCTGGCGGCGCAGGCGAACAGCGGTGCTGCTAATACCGGCGAAATGTCCGGTTCTCTAAAACGTGTGCGCCGCTCCGAGGCATCACTGGCTCAAGCAGCAAAGTGCGTTTCAAAAGGACAAACCTTCCAAACGGTCAGCAACATGTTTAACATACCAGTTTCGACAATACGCTTCTACATGGCGCGAAAGGGTATATTGCCACGTCGTAAGCGCGGACGTGGCGCCTCATCAGCTGTGAGTAGCGTGACCGCCGGTAGCGGCGGCATAATGACGGCCACGGCGGCAGCAACTATGGCGCAAGCGTTATCGCAAATGAAGCGCGCCGAAAGTCCGAGTGGCTTTCCAGCTCATCAGTTGGTGAGTGGCGCCAGTGTTGGCGGCAAGGCGCACATTTAATTCAAACGCAGCAACGAAGATAAGCAGCGCGGGACACATGTTAAACTTGTAAAGTTTAGCAGTAAGCATTCAAAAGCTCTCAACGGTTACGAGTGAGATTACAACTACACGTACACTTAAGCGCCGTACGGTGAAAAAAACACAAAAAATACTCTCTTAAGCTAAGTATGTATGTGTAATGAAATATACCGGAAACGCCAATTTACTTAAGTAATTATATTATATGATTTAAAATTTAATCATTCTTAAAGTTCAATTCTACGTAAGTCATTCTTGCACGTTAAGTTGTACAAAGTATTGTTTTAATTTCCTACATTCATAATTACCGGCAGCTATGTACATATATGCAATTTATATATTTTTTTTTTCAAATTTCATAAATGTCATCATACACTGTTTACATGTTCGTATTTGTTGTGCTGCGCGCAAAATGATTCAGAAAGTTTTATTTTTTATACCTTGCATTATTATTCAATGATTTTACATTAAAGAAATTCAAAGCAGCTGTATCACATTTTACGTGAAACTTTTAAGTCATAGGCTGAGCAACAAAATATACATACATTCAAGAACATTTTCTATAAAAAAAATGCCAAATATGCATTTTATATTAATAAAACTGTATGATCCAACGCAATTAATTTTTTAATTGCTTAGTTATTTTTTTTATTAATTTGGTTTTACAAAAAAAAAAAAAAAAACAATTAATCTTTTATTTGCGTTATTTATTAAACTTTTTTTTTTKTACTTGTTTAATATACATACATTTAAAAAAAATGTTTTCGTGGTGTAAATATTTATATTTAGTAGTAAGTTTATAATTTCAATGCACAAACGATAAAATGATTGCATTTTTAATTTAGTACTACTTAAAGTTAGCTGACTATAGAATTAAGTTAGTAGTTTTAAGCTTTAACTAAATTACTGTTGACGAAGCGTTCGATGTGTTAGTGCTAAAAAATTTTATATTTTAATTGGTTTTAAAAAACTTACGTAAAATTTCATTTATGACATCCAAATTTGTTTGAGGAATTTTTGCTAAAAAGAATCTATTTTTGTTATTTAGGACAATCAAAAGAATGTATGAAAAAAATAAAAATAATGTTTAAATTTTTTTTTGAAATTTCTGCTATTTTTTTACTAAAGATTTTTAACAAAAAATAAACACAATGTAAAAATAAAAATTATACTTATTATGTTTTTTCATTTTGTTTATTGATTTTCGAAATTAGACTTTTTAATTAAAAAATATTTATCAAATCCATTTGCTTCCACTAGCACATGTACGCTTCAAAACAGATAGCTATCATATGCTTCGGTTCCATGGGTTTCCTATATTAAGTATGACACATATATTTACAAATACAGATGTATATAACATATATACATACATATATAGTAGATAAGCAAAAAGATCTGCGCAAAAATCTCTACACAAAGCAGAGCAGAGTTGAAAATATAAAAAAAAATTGCTATGTAAAAAAGTAAATAAACCAATTCAGTTTATTATATAAGACATTAAAAAAAAATTACAATGAAAAAAAGTAAAGGAATCAAATCGGTTTATACGAAAATTGATCAAAGCATAAATTCATAAAACCTTACAAAAAATCTTAAATTGTTGTTGTTTTAAATGACAACCAAAAATCAGTTGATCAATCGGGTTGCAATGATTATGGAGAAAAATCTTTTTCGTAAGCTACGATGTTCTGAAATTTTCAATATTTTGCTTTGCTTAATACGATTTTAAACACATACATCTTTTATGTGCTTTTTGTATATTTTATAAAAGCTAACAATCATTATGAGTAAGTTTTAAATACTCCAAATAATAAATAGTATTATTTTCCAATAAACTACGTGAACGATCGAAACCGTGGTTCAGTATAAGAAATAAGATTACGTCTTAAGTGTGAAATTTTAGATTTAGTTGAAAAAACATAAATTTTTTGAAAAATCAAAGCATGTATTACATTTTTTGTATTATTAATTAATTTTTTTTACTACTCGGTACATTTAGTTTATCGTTTGCAACTTATTCTTAATACAATAGTTAAAGAAGATTATTCTTTTCGGGAAAATAAATATCAATAATATAAATTGCCATATAACTGTTAAAACCGAACTGATTTTTTATATACCTGCAGTAATTTGCATTAAATGAATTAAAAACTTCTTAGTCATCAGAAATGCTTTAATACATAGTTATTAGTTTATGTTTTATAAACATATCTCTTAAGTCAATCAGATTTATGTTCAAAAATTTTTATATTTCAATTCTATTGTGAAATAGCCTAAAAGTATGCAAAAAAATTAAACATTGACATACCTTGAAAGTTACATATACCTCGTTAATATTTGTTTTTCTTATAACCAAAAAATAATAATTTATATTAAAAAAAATTACCTAAAAGATGGGTTTATAAAGTTTAATAAAATAAAATGACGTTCGATCACCGTTCTTGCTGGAAAATCTACAAACAATACATGTAAGATGAAAATAAATATTGAAAAAGTAAATAAAGACATTTTTAGTTGCTATACTCAAACACCAGTATTAACAAAAGTAAAGAAGTTGGAAATGTTAAAAAAATATGATATTTTTCGAAATTTGACGCTATTAAGAGGGGTCTGAATGAATGAAGATGAGGAATGCACCTCAACCTTTGGTCTGTTGTGCCCTCTCCTGACTCTCATTCACTCGCCTAGGCCCAGCTCATTAATGAAATCCAGTAGACTTTAAGAGGAGTAAGTTGATTTTTTTTAATTTGAGATTTAGCTAAAACACAATTAGCAATTATTTTGTTTCATTTATTATTAAACGTAAGAATTGTAAAGAAATCGTTATTGATAAAAATATATAGTATGCATCCATACATATAAACATGTAGGCATGGTAGAGTGTGTTAAATAGCTGTAAGGATATAATTTTTTTAAATAAGTGCATTCTGAAAAGCTGTAGTAGCAATGTTACTATAGCATGAAATTTAATAAAATATAAATGTGTACATATATAAATGCTGCAATTTATTTATAAATAAATACGCGATTGAAAAATATTGTAAAATACTTACGAATGTGAGATATTTTAATATTTAGAAGTGTAAACAAAATAATGTGTATAATAAAATTAAATGCAATAATGAACACGTTTGAATAACGTCGCAATAAATTCAATATTTATAAACGTAAGTATGAAAATCAATTTTATTTTTAATTTTTTTTTTTATAAAAAATATATATATGCTGTAAAATTACAAAAATTATAACGCAATTATTAGTTATTATTTTAAAGTTAATATATATAATAAGTTCTTTAAAGTAAAAAATAAAAATAAAAAGTTTTACGGAAATGTGTATACAAAATTTAACAAAACAAAATAAATGTTAATTGCAACACTGCCACCCTATTAACTATTTTTCCACCCTTAAAATTGTAAACAAATAAACAGCTGGCGTGTTACACTGCTTTGTAGCAATACGCTAGGAAATTAATTTAAAACAGATTTTCTTAAATATATAATAAAAAATATTGCTCCTAATTAGGCTGCAATGTTACGAAATGTGCATCGCTGCAATCAACACTTAATACATATAGAATGGAGCTCGAAGGGATGTGCCCATATTTCAACCGCTTGTGGAGGCGTTACTTATGCAAAGGCTAATGACATCAAGTTTCAGAGTAAGATTATAAGTAAACTTGTTGGTCATCGTATCTCAGGAAGCAAAAAACGTTGGTATCCCAGTTATGACGTAAATACTTCGAATTCAGCTAGACAGCGTAACGCTGAGATGTTTAACAGTGCGCATATAACCAAATCCACTGGTAGTGGCGGTGGCAAAAATACAACACGTCGCATGGTGGTATTGAATAAATTGTTTATGAAACATATAACCGATCTCTTGGCAACTGGAGAAGCGTCAGAGTCTATATTAGGATGTGGTTTACAAGTGACACGCGTAAAGATCTCACCAGATTTCGCATACATTAACGTGTATTGGTTAGGTGGTGGTGAGCCGTTAGCAGATGCACAACTCGAAATGGAATTGCAACGATGTAGTGGGCGTTTACGCCATGAATTGTCACAATTAATGTTAATGAGTGAAGTTTCACGCATTAAATTTGCTCGTGAAAAAAAATTGTCTAATATCGCACAAGTAGAAGGGTTGTTACGCACAATTGATTTTGGCCCTCAAGAAGAAACATCTGAAGGGAGTACAGAAGCTTTAGCTGACCATGTCCAACACAATTTGGTGGCTACTCTAATGCAACGTGAATTTTATGGCAAAAATGACATAACCGTGGCGAATGAAAATAAGTGTGACAACGAAGAGGAATTTCCTGAAATGCGACATGATGTACTTGGCCTAGATCATCAGCATATCATGTCCAAAATATTGACAAAAATGCGAAAATCGCAACATGCTTGGGAACAGCATACACGAAAAGATAACGCCCTTGTTAGTACTAACGAAGCAGGCAATGCTGCGGAATCACTTGAACAAATTCAACAACAGCTTACTCGAGCGGCGGAAAAGTCAACAAGCTTTGAAAGGTTTCTGGCTAAAAGACGTGAACGTAAAAGTACACCAGAGCGTAAAAGACACGATCGTGCATCTGAGTGGGTAGATGAAAGTGTTGAACAAGCTGCTTTGGAAGCAGCTGCTTCCACTGTGCTCACACCTGCGCAACGAAGGCTATTGGAGTCGGAAGATTATTTATTTGAAGATCAAGACGATAAACGTAATACAAATGAGAAATAGAAATTGTGCAAACTGAAACAAGTTAGTAAATGCAATAACTAATTCAAGTCGTTTAATAAAATAAATTTGTTATTTTAGTTTAAAATTCTTTGAATTCACTTATTTATAATTATTTCTTTATATTTAAAAATTAAACCTCATGGTAGCTGAAAAAAAATGCTAAAACGGTATGTTGATCGTATTGACCCCGTTGAGTAGCTGACCCACACACTTTCCTAAAATAAACAAAAAAATATATTTATCAGTATATTTTATAGGTAAATACTGAAGTATTTTTTTTTTCTTTCATTTTATTTCAATCAGTCAAAAACTTATGTAACATCAACGATTATTCTCAGTCGAAAGATGGTGAGTTTTATTCATCATAAAGTTAAAAAATGTAATTTTTTATCAAATTCACATTTTTTAAGCATATGAAGGAATATACGTAATGTTATTTTTTACTCACCTAAAATAATAGCTAAAGGTTTTGTTGCTCCAGAGAATAGTCATATTTTTGCAGCAAGCGGTATTGACCCAGATTTCCTTTTCCAACGATTTGTTTGTTGATATATATCTATATAATGTGCTTGAAATTTAATTTTTCAAAATCCCTCATGTCACATCTCCCTATACAATATAAAACGAAATTTTCCAACCAACAATTCTGTTAATGACCCTATCACCTATCATTTTAAAATAAAAGCTGTAATTTAAACGTGTAAAACTTTACTTTCTTTTATTTCATAGAAATAAAATTCAACTATATTGTATAGGTTGTCAGTTTGTAAATATCCTTACAAAAAACTCAATTGTGCTTTCTGCAAGGATATCTACATTCATTCCTTCCCATGCTGACGTTGTTGACCGAAGCTT